CGCAGAATGTGAAGCAAAAGACAGAAAAGGCTGTGGAAGGAGAGATTAAGCTCCACATTCCCATCAAGAGTCATATTGCAAGTTCTGTCATTGTTAGAATAGATCCCAAATGATGAACGGCTGCCCTGTTTGTGCATGCCTTTATCACCAGGGTTCCCGCCCTCCCTGAGCCCTTTCCTGTCATATTCAGTACCGACCTTGAAAGTGATAAGCAGTGCTCAGATCGTTAAATCTAAATGATTTGATTCTGCTCAGCTGCCTCAAAATATTTGTGCTGCCTGGGGAGCAATGGGCTTTCTACACTCCTTCCTTTACCTTTTTCTGTAAACATGTTCTTTGTGCAGCTTAACGCTGACACATTGTCAGGAAAGGTGGTGCTGAAATGATTGCCACAAACTACAAGAGCTTGGGAAAACAATGTTCAGACTTTAGTGCAGAATAAATTTAGAGCATCACACAGTTATATCCACATTCAAAAGTACCATCTATTACATGCAGCACAATCCTATCCATGTATATCTAGCCCTGTGGGCCAAAATCCTATCATCAATGTCATCTTAGAACTGCAGAACTGGAAGGGACCCTATGGCTCATTGAGTCCATCCCTTGTCAAGGAGGCACAGTGGGGAATCGAACTCTCAACGTATGGCTCCATGGTCAGATACCTAAACCATTGAGCTACTATACACAAAATGGCGCAGTTTTTGCAATCTGGTAGCTGCCGGTCATGCAGCAGGCTACCCAATGCACCACACACCTTACTGTACAATTAGAAGACTATGAGGCATGCAACAAACTATCTCCCAATGCTTGCATGGCTGCAGTTATGCAGCCACTGGCTACTGTCTTGATGGAGCTTACTCCCAAATAAGTATGTTTGGTAGTCCAGACTTTTGATACAAATTTTTCCAATTCTCCCATTATACCATGCTATCCTCAAAAGGAGAATGTATTTTGCTATAAGGCTACAAATAACAGCAGCTGCAGGACCAGCAACCATGATAACAGAATACACAAATTTTAATAGCATCAAATGTTATGTTTCATAAACACATTGACCAATAATCATTTTTAAAGATAATGGAAGTGAGAGGTTCATAGGCATGTTAATGACAATAAATACTCTTTACAGAGTTGTCTGTGGATGCAAACCTATAGAAATTTACCTGATGCTAAGTAGATATATACAGGATTGCACTGTCAATCATGAATGCCCAGTAGGGTGTAATGAACAGAGTGCAGACAGAATTTTTGTTGTGTAGTCATTAAGTTGTGTCCGACTCTTCATGACCCTTTTAGGACATCTCCAGTTTTCTTGAACAGATCTTTGGTTTTTCCCTTTCTATTATTTTTCTCTATTTCTTTGCACTGTTCATTTAAGAAGGCCCTCTTGTCTCTCCTTGCTATTCTTTGGAAGTATGCATTCAATTTACTGTAACATTCCCTATCTCCCTTGCATTTTGTTTCCCGTCTCCTCTCTGCTATTTCTAAGGCCTTGTTGGACATCCACTTTGCTTTCTTACATTTCCTTTTCTTTGGGATGGTTTTTGTTGCTGCCTCCTGTACAATGTTACAAGCCTCCGTCCATAGTTCTTCAGGCACTCTATCCACCAAATCGAGTTCCTTAAATCTGTTCTTCACTTCTACTGTGTATTCATAAGGGACTTGGTGTAGATTATACCTTACTAGCCTAGTGGTTTTTCCTACTTTCATCAGTTTAAGCTTGAGTTTTGGTATAAGAAGCTGATGATCAGAGCCACAATCAGCTCCAGGTCTTGCTTTTGCTGACTGTATAGAGCTTCTCCATCTTTGGCTGCAGATAACATAATCAATCTGATTTTGG